AATTAATTTACCTACACAATTCAAACTCTACATTAATTAACCCTCAATTCCCTCTCTCTATTCTAACCTCTCTGGCAGGACTCTCTTTCTCTCTACCATTCTCGTCTCTCTCTATCAGAAACGACGCTGTCGGAGGCAGCAGCATAGCGCTCCACCGCCGTACGAAGCGGACTGTGATTTCTTCCTCCGATATGTACTTTTACCAGAGTTTGAGGGTGTTTTTATTGGTTATTGATTGTGTTGTGAGCGTTGCAGTGATGGTGGCGATTCAGTGGTGGGTTGCAGTGGTGTTGTTACAGGTGGGGATGGTGGTGTCACAGGCATAGGGTGACTGTTCGGTGGTGGCACAAGCATTGCGGCGGTAGTGGCGATTTGATGGTTGGGGTGATTTTATTTTATTTTTTAATTTTTTGGTTGACGTTTTTGTTTATATAATTTGGGGTGTTTCTGTTGGTGAACGTTGCTGTGGTGGTGGTGATTCATTGGTGGGATTGTGGTGGTGTTGTTACAAGTTATGGGGTAGTGGTGTGGTGCAGTAGTGTGGGTAGTGGTGGTGGTGGTTAGGGATGGCAGTGGGGCGGGGCGAATTCACGCCCCATTTGTCGCCCCGTTTAATTTTTTATTTATTTATTTTTTTTTACATTTTTAAAATTTCAAATTATGTTATTATTAGAGAATAAAATATAAATTCAAAATTTTAAAATTCAAAGTAAACACTTGAAATAAATAATGTAAAATATTAAACAAGTTCAAATAAAATTACGTTTTGACTAAATTTTATTTCTTTTGTAATTAATTAAAATTTTACATTTGTATTTTATTATCTAATAATAATATAACTTGAAGTTTTAAAAAAAAATCACGGGGCGGGGCACCCCATCCTGCCCCGCCCAGCCAACCCATCGGGGCGGGGTTTTTTGCCATCATTAGTGGTGGTGTTTTTTTGGTTGTTGAAGTAGTGGTGGTCGTTTGTTGTTGGGGATTTGAGTGGTTTTGGCACTGGTGGTGGTAGATTTGGCAAGGTGGTGGTTGGCAGTGTTGCAGTGGGTGGAAAGAATGTTTGTGACCAATTATGTTATAATCAGTAAATTGTTAACTTGTAATCGGTAAATAATATGCGGCCAAATATGTGATTGTGACTAAATTTATAATATGTGATCTAAAATTTGCGACTGTGATTTATAATTGATTAAGTTGTGATCAAAAAATTATTCATGGCCAATTAATCTAATAATTTGCAATATATATATATATATATTGTGACCAATAAAAATTTTGATTTAGTGATCAATGAATAATATGTGACCGATAAAAGTTTTTTATTTGTGACTAAAAAATAATATATGACCTATAAATTTTTTTATTTGTGACCGAGAAATAAGTTGTGACTAGAAATTAATCCGTGACTAATTAATTTTTTGATTTGTGACCGATGAACAAACTGTGACTTACAAAATTTTTGAATTGTGATCGTAAAATTATTTGTGGCATAAAATTTTTTATTTATGATCAAAAAATAATAAATTAGTAATTAAATTGTTAATTCGTGACCAACTTGTGTAGATCTGTGACCAGAATATATTAAATTAATTAAATAATTAAATCATAAATAAATTTTAATAAAAATTGATTTTTGAATTTTGAAACTTGTTTTCTTAATTTTGAAATATGCCATACTTAATCTCTCACTTATGAAATTTTTCCTTTTATTTAATTAATTATTCATCAATGTTTTGAAATGGATATTATTTTTTTCCTTCACATTTTATGACCATAATTTTAAATTTTGAAGTTCCCTTTCACTTCCTATCTCATAATAGTTCTGAATAAGTTTTAACATGTTTAAGAGTCTAAATAATTAAATATTGACGTGTTGGCAATTAAATTTGATTAGATAAATTATAAAATGAGACACAAAATACAATTATTATTCTCTTTGCTATATTTTCAAAGCAACGTTAAAGAAAATCACCTTTAATATCAAGCTTTTAAAGATATAATAAAATTATTTATTTAAATAAAGCAGTGAACACATTTCACCACGTGCACATCAAAGTTTATTTTTCAAACAACCATCTCGTATGTTCACAAATTTTTTCTTGAAAAGATTACGAGATTTGAACCATCTTATTTAAAAGCTTAATTCATGAAAGAGAGAATATATTATAAATTCATCGTTTCTGATATCCCCAATTGCATTAAAATGAATTTATTTTATAACATAGTTTTTAATGATTGATTATCATGAAATTGTTGGCATATTTAATGTAGAATTCGTCTCCTCCTGCAATTCTCAAACTTTACGCTCATGTTTGATGTACATTAAAATTAGGTTAAAATTTCGAATCAAAGTCAATAATTAATTTAATTGCACATTTTATGATATTCACAATTTTTCAACAACATATTCTATTAATTTTTATCAAAATTTACTAAAAATATGATTTTAAATTGCACCAAACAAGGGGGTAAATTGTATGTCAAAATGTTGTAGGAACTTTAATTTGTATAATAATAGTCCTCTCAATATTTTTTTGTTGTATTCCTCTTATTTTTATGATCTCACGTGAAGCACGTGCTATAAATGTCATGCCCTAAATCCAATCAATTTAGGTTGTAAATACATTTAATATGTTTAATGCATTTATTTTTGGCAAGATCTATTATTTATTTAAATTAATATTTTGACGAATAATATTAAATAATAGAGTCCAAAGATTCAAATTTCAGTAACTTGTTAATCATAAGGAGTTGTGATTGTGAAATACAAATTACATATGTATGCCATGTTATGTACGAGATCAGATGTTTCATATGTTCTAAATGTTACGAGCAGGCTTTAAGCAAAACCTGGTGAGAAACACTAGATGGGGTAAGGAACATTATTAAGTACTTGAGAATGACTAAAGATGTGTTCTTGATATATGGAGGAGATGAACTAAAGGTTCATGGGTATACTGACGCTAGCTTTCAATCTGACAAGGATGATAGCAAGTCTCAATCTGGATATACGTTTACTCTCAACAATGGAGCGGTTAGTTGGAAAAGTTCCAAACAGGAGACAACCAACCGCTGATTCAAAAACAGAAGCGGAGTACATTGCTGCTTCTGAAGCAGCGAAGAAAGCTGTATGGATCAAGAAGTTCATTAATGAAGTGAGAGTTGTTCCTAGCATTGTTGATCCCATACCTTTGTATTGTGATAACAATGGAGCCATCCCACAAGCGAAGGAACCGAGGTCTCATCAACGATCCAAATATATACTAAGACGACATTATCTCATCAGGGAGATTATATAAAGAAATGACGTAAAGATAGAGCGAGTTCCCACTTATGATAATATTGCAGATCTATTGACAAAGTCGTTGTCACAACAAAAATATAATCGTCATGTGAAGGCTTATGGTATTTGATACATGAGTGAATGGATCTAGTGCAAGTAGAAGTTTGTAAGTGTTATACCCTAAGTTTAATCGATTTAGGTTGTAAATACTTTTAATATGTTTAATGTATTTATTTTTGGCAGGATCTTTTATTTGTTTAAATTAATATTCTGATGAATAATAATAAATAATAGAGTCCGAAAATTCAAGTTCAGTTAATTTGTTAATCACAAGGGGTTATGATTGTGAGATACAAATTACATATGATTGGATCTTAAATAATACATAGTCGTAAGTAACAACGAGATATGGATATTGTTATTAAGGATAGACCACCACGTGTGACATTTCTTACTTGTGAAGTAAATAGCTAATCTCATAAAGTAAATGAACGCATAGATAATTTGTTATTGAACAAAACATTGGAGACCCGTTTGGAGATTCCACATGGATAACTATCCGAGTATCAGTAATTAATCTTTAACGTTCGGTAGTGAAATTGGTCCTTTGACTTGAGGTTATCATAGTGCCTTATATGAGAACAAACAAACTTTCGCAGTGTTGGATATTACTCTGCCAATGGCCGCTAATATGATATCGCTCAGGTATGTCAAGAATCGTATAAAGGTAATGAATTACCAATAAAGGATTCGTCATTCTTAGATAGTAAGAGATTATGATCTACAATTCATTCAATTAAGTCGATAACGAAATCCTTGATCAAGGTGTACTCAAAAGTCGAAAATGAGTTTTTGACTTATATAGACTTAATAGTTTAATGAAAGATATGATCGATAATTGGAATTAACATATTTCTATATTTCGTAATTAATCGGATCATATTGACGAATGGATTATAGTTTCATAGCAAATGAATGAGTTTGATTTTGTCATATCACGTGATATTTGCCCTCACATGTATTGCTCTGACACATTGTTAGATGTCAATCTAGGACGGCAAACGTGAGTTGGTGATAAATTAAAAGGGCGTTTTAATTTATCGATTTTGATTAGATCAAAATAAGAAGTCATATCGTTAGGTATCGTAATCGGGAACCTAATGGGTCTCACACAAAAGGAGAATTGGAAGATTATGACTTATCAATTAATTAATTTAATAAGCGTTGAATAAATTAATTAATTGGATTCCTTATTTATAGGCCATGAATTTAATTAATTCATGGATCGGATTTAATTTAATGGGTTAATTAAATATTTGATCGGGTCAAGCCAAGCCCGTTTGAGATTATATAAATAAGTAGCTATGGTTTACAGTTTTATAGAGAATTCATTCTTGCTAGAACAAGAGAAAAAAATTCTAGTGCCTACAATCTTGTTCTCTGTGTGGGATTCCATTGAAGGCTTGACAATTAGATAGCTATGGGTAGCAGATCAAGGTTGTTGGAACAAAAGGAAAAGCAAAGGAGTTTGCAGATCTAGAAAAAGGTATAACTTTTATCACAATTTCTATCTAAACACTAAGAAGATCCTTGGTATGTGCATAATAAGTAAATTCCCAACATGTGCACCCTCATATTAAACTAATAATATTATTTCCACAAGTTCATGACCTTATATAAACCAACACCACCCAATTCGTCACTTGATTCCTAGTTTCTTACTCTCCTCTCCAGTACATTACCGCTATATGGACTGAACAATGAGAAGTATTTCCTTGTTTTCACAGTCATCTAGTGGTATTTCAGGAACAGCAAGAAGTCCATTTCAATGGCCGATAAACCATCGATTTTCATCAGATCGACGTGATTTCATTTGCAAGTCGTTGCCGGTGTCGTCACCTAGTGCAACGCCATTGATCCCTGCTGAAAATGGTGCTCTGTATAATTATATACGTCAACCTGTGGTGAATAATCATTTTGTTTAGTTTACTTTCATCTCCTTGTTTTACTATGTTTGAAATTTTTAACTCGAGCGAAACCGAGGTTCTGTTTGTTTGTTTGTGCGTTGGAGGTTCGACTTTATGTCTCATTAGTTCATTTCTAATGAACTTGATCGTTTGGAGAAACTGGTCTTAACTGGCATGGACATGATTTTCCTTTTTATCACTGCATGGTTTTGCAGTAATTGTGATGGCTTGTTGTTTGAAGCAGAAATTTTAATCAATACATGTGTCTCCTCCAAGAAACACCAGCATCTCTTTATTTACAAAGAGCAGTTTATGCATTATAGAGTCTTTAAATTTAGAAAATCGAATTTTTTATGCACTCCAACAATGTTCATTATTTTGACTATTCATTTTACTTAATCAAGAAAAATTTACTGATTTCTCTTCATTTTTTATTTGAAATAATTTTTTATATGTCAATGACTAATCAATTTAAATGTGGTTTGACTAGTGTAGAAGTAGAGTGTTGATATCTATGACTTATTAAATACTATCATTGTATATTAAGAGTACAGATTATTATCTAAATTTTGGGCTTCTTTTTTATGGCTTCGTAGATAGTTACTCCTGAAGTCGACGACGGCACGAAGCACAGAGAATTGCTCGAAAGAACTCGACGAGAACTGCAAAGAAGTACAAAACTAGTTGAGACGCTAAAACTTATAGACAATCTTCAACGATTAGGAATTGCATATTATTTTGAGGATGATATCAATGTAATACTAGATCGATTCTCTGATGGCTTGTCTAATGAAGATCTCTTCACAACAGCCTTATGCTTCCGCTTGCTCCGTGATAACGGCTACAAAACTGGTTCTGGTATAAATTCACGACACCTTTAGTTCGTATTATATGAACTTAAGGATGTAGTAAAAAGAATATTATGCTTTAACTACTATTTGGAGATGAGAATTTGTGAACGAAAAGATTATTCAAACGTAACATGTTTGTGAAGAGGCTATAAATACGATTTAAGTAATGAATAGATAGAAATGAGCGGTGGGTAAGTGGATACTATTTGTAGATCCTTCTAAATGTACGGATGAAAAGTGACTTGAGTGCTTAAAAATAATTTATAAATACGTTGAAAATAATTTTGAACTAAAAAAAAAAAAAAGTAAAAATTAGGTCTCAAGACAAATTTGCTTTTTGCGGTTGTTAATGAACTTACCTTAATCACAGGAACCAAACAATGCATTGTCCTCTCTTTTCAAAAATGAAAATACAGCACTTTGTGTGGGTAATAATGCAGAAAATGATAGCACAGAACGATGAATTAATCTACTGGGGTGCCCATGTGGTCTGGTTTTCTAGGAGGCTGCTGTGTGCGTGTGGGAAAGATCAGTTTGTCCGAAAAGAGACATGCAAGTCTAAAAATCTATTCCTTGCATCACTTTCTATTTCGATCATCAATATGCCTCGTATGAATAATGCTATTTGTGATTGCTAACTACCACAATCACTCTAAGTGGCATACATTTGACGGTTAGTAATTTAATGCATAAGGCAATAAAAAAAAAAAAAAAAACCACCACATTGATGCATTAAATGATTCATCGCCACATGTATGTCACATAACGCGACTATGACAGTGAAAGACTACAAATAACATTACTTTATGCCATATATTTAAAATTTAGTATAAGATAATATGAAAATAATTATTTCTACAAAAGGATAGATAAGTCAGGTTAGTCCTAGACCAAGCCTGAGCCATGGGCATAAAAGTTCGTTGACGCAATAGAAAAAATCTATAGTTATCAAAACTTAGCCATCATACTCTCGCGTTTAAGCCAATTGACCTTGTTTATTGAAAAATAATAATAATAATAAACAAATAGCAGATCGGATGGGATTTTGTAATAAGTTGATGTAGGAAATATTTAGTATACTAGAAAAAGAGTACTAATAGAACATCATAATTTCGGATTGGGCCTATAAGACCATTTTGAAAAGAGAACGACTAGAGGAACAATACTTATCACTATGCCGTGACGTACGTGAATTTCAGCCATTCGAGTTCGTTTAGGACCCAAAAACTGATTTTTAAAGTTTTGACGCTATTTTTGTCAATTCGTTTATTTTGGATTTTTTGCAATTTTAGTTTGTTTAAACTTCGTTTTTATTACTTTAAGTTGTTTTAAACTACGTTTCCATATAAACCCTTATAAATAAAGAGTTAGTTCTTTTTTTAATTATTATCATTCATTAATAAAATTCGTGAAGTTTATTTTCTCTTTAATTTGGTGGATTTCAAATTTCATGATCTCAAGGTTATCGCTTGAATTTCTTTTTTCCATTGCGTCATAAGTTAAGGGAGAACGACATCTTATCAAGTGGCTCTCTGCACTCCTGGCTTTAGAATCAAACACATTATGAACATCAAGGCCGGCTGGTTTGGTTTGATTGTCTCCGTACAATAAATTAGAATAGGTTGAGTAACCAAAACTACCATAAGGTATGACTTGTATGGACATTATCACAAATGGATTAAACATATAGCGCATTTTAAGTACACAATACTCGACTCCAAATTCATAAAAATAAAGGGCTGACTTGTCGTATTTGTTTTCAGATGGTGGAAACAATTAGGACTTGTTGAGAAGCTGAGCTTTGCCCGGGACAGATTCTTGGAATGCTTTTTATGGACAGTGGGACTTCTTCCAGAACCCAAGTGCTCTAGCTGCAGAATTGAACTGGCTAAGACCATAGCCATTCTATTGGTAATTGATGACATTTTTGACACATGGCAAAATGGGGGAACTTGTTCTTTTCACTGAAGCAATTCAAAGGTTCGTATATATATTAATCTATTTCATTTTGTTCATTTTCGCTTATAATATTTCTTTGAAAATATATATATTGAAAATTTGATTGTCATTCGGAAATTTCTTAAGAATTTGAATGCTTAATTTGATTCGCAGATGGGATCTCGATGAATTGGTAACTCTTCCACCGTACATGAGAATATGTTACATGGCTTTATACAACACTACCAATGAAATCTGCTACAAAATCCTTAAGGAGTACGGATTCTGTGTCCTTCCCTACCTTAAATCCACGGTAACGTGCTTTTTTGTAGACCATGGCTAAAAGATCACACAATGATCAGTGTGCTTTTCTCTAACTGTGAATCATACTTGCATTCTTATAACCAAATTCCGAGTTGTAGAACTTACTTGAAATTTCAAAACGAGGTTGAATTACTTGTCTTTGATTTGCTTGCTTTCTACACTGCCTTGCACTAACTCCTTGGTCAAAAACTCGATCACAAAGAAAGGAATTTGATAGGCACAACCTAAATACCAATTTAGAAATGTAAATCTTCCAAATCAAGTCACAACCCTTACGTGTTTTTCACCCTTTTCTTCACACGATTTTTGCACGTATTCTGATGGTTGTTAGTGTAGTGGAAGGACCCAGAAACTTTCAAGCTGATAATGGACAAAATTTTGAATAAAAAAATAAAAATAAAATAAAAAAGTTATTTTTCAGACTTACATGTTCTTCCATCTATTACAACTAAAAATGGGGATTTGGATTCTTGAGACAGGAAGAACTAGAGAGAGAGAGAGGCAGAAGCAGCGAATGATGATGAATTAGTTTCATCACAGTCTGCTGCTGGATCACAGCAACGTTCACAGTTCGACGTGTGCGGCGTTTTTCGCAGGAGAGATGATGGAGAAGAAAAGGAGGGGGAAATTTTAGGGTTTGAATTGGGTGGGTGTGAGGGTTATGCTGGGTCCGGTAGTAGATTTTTCTAATTTTAATATTTTATTATTAATTTAATTCATCGAGTTGGATTGAGTTGGGTTGTATTGGGGTATTAATTCGTAACTCAAGACTCAACCCAACTCAACCTCAAATTCGATTTTCAATCCAACCCAATCCAATTGAACTTAAAAGTCCATCCAAACCAATCAATTTGGGTTGCATTGGTCAATTTGAGCAGTTTGGGTTATTTTTGTTCAGCCCTAAGTCGAATGCGAATTCGGAAAGAGAAATTTTGAATATTTGTTGCTTGTATTTGGAAGGAATCTATCAATCCTGAATTTGAATTATACAAGAGAAACAAGATTAAAAAATATAACTTACACTAATTTGTTTTTAAAATTATTTTTTGGAAGATATTTTGCTGCATTAGGTAGAATCTATCTTTCATTCTACATATAAAAAATAAAAATAAATAAATAAATAAATAAATCTGAGGTTGACACTAAAGCACACAATGGAAATTATAAGGTATTAAACTATACAAAAAATTAAATTTACAACTAAAGGCTCAAATGGGTTTAGGCTGACCGATTATTCATCTGTTGATAATTAATGTCATCGTGTAGCTCATCTCTTGAAATAGACAGCTCCCCTCTCAATGAAATTTTACTATGGGCCTTGTTGAAGTACGAAGTGCAAATAAAGAATTGTTCCCTCATTTCATCTTTTTTCGTTCTATAATAATCGATATACTCTAGACACATTTTTTGCATGATAAACAAAATATGAGTAGTGGAGTGAACATAAGCATATCATAGGCACGCAAGTGATAGGTATTATCACCAAGGAATCCCAGCATGATGCTTAATTGAAAAGGAAAAAAAATGTTAATACAACTTCAGAAATGATTGTTATTGAGCTAAAACCCTGGCCGACCAATGCTTTCTAAGAATACCAAGTGTTCTTTTATTTGCTTTGTGTCGAAACCCCATTTGTGTTAGACTCTACTCGCAACTAACAACCAGCTGTAGAAATTAATATGGTCATCTATTATATATTATTTTTAGAATGATTTCGCGAGTAATTCTTTGAAAAATCAATATTAAGTTTTTGGGCATAGCAAATGTCCATTTTAGGACTATTCCAAAATACTTTTGTTAAACATCAAAAATCATGTTGGGGACTAACTTTTTAGTTTTCCATTCTTAGATAACTGTTTGACCCTTATTTTTGGAGGGAAGTATGTTTTGAAATAGTGATTTTTCCGAGAGTGTTGTTAAAGATAAATAAAGGAGTAAAATTATTTAATGTGAAAGCGTGTAGTTGAATATGAGCCTAAACAGGGGTCAAAATAAAACCAAAATCCATCTTCAAGGCTATAAATAGAAACATATGAAATGAAGGACAAAAAGAATCTGTTAAACATAAAGAAATGAGAAGCCTTCACTCAAAATATTGAAGTTCATTAATAAATCTGATATATATATAACTGTTGAAAAGAAAAGTAGATTTTTATTTTTATTTTTATTTTTTTGTAAATATAAATTTAATTTCAATGGTCTATTACATTAATTGTATTTACAAAGTACAAATTTGATCGCTGAGAAAGTGACTCCCACTCACCGACTAGTAGCCGATCGGTGAAGAACTTCACTGACTACAAGATGACGGTGAAGAAACAGATCTTCGGTAAAGAACAACATACGCACGAATTTAGGCGCACATTTAAAACTATAATGAACAAATTTATACCCCAATTCACATGCAAAACAAAATTTTAAAACAAAAAACTTAAAGATTCCAAACATAAAAAAACTAATTGAAGAAAAATAATCAAGAATTTGAAAAAACCTTAGACAGACGGGATTTTAACTTCGAAATTGGGAGTTCTTACACTTGTAAAGGAAAAGAACTCAATCTTGATTGTATGAGGCAATGAATTGGTAATCGGTAAAGTCCACTCTTGAATAGCCAATGAATGCCAGTGTTGATTTTAGGGTACAATAGGTATTTGATTTCTTATTTTTGTTTTTGATATATTTATTGGTCTAATTTGGGTCAATTGCCATTTGTGTTAAGTGGTCGGGTTTCCCCTATACACACAATTTTACACATACTTATGGAGAGAGAGTAAAGTGGAATAGAGGATGAAGGAGACAAATGAAACTAAAAGCGGCTCAGCTTTTAGGGAAACACAGTTATTGTTGTTTCTGGAGTATAAGTTTTTCCTTTTAAACAATCTGATAGAATTACCTTAACGTAATTTTTTTTTTCAATGTAACAGTACGATCAACAAGATAAGAAAAGAATAATTCGAACCCACCGACTTCACGATATTTC